TCGAGCCCCAGGTTGAACCACTGTCAGCTCCTGCCTGGACATCGGCAAGAGCCTTCTAAAGCATACATTCTTGCCTCCATCCCTATCCAGTCTCCAAACAGCAGCAAGTGTTCTTTCCAAACTGTAGGAAGATCATGTCAAGCCTCTGCTTCAAGCCCTCCAGAGGCCCTCCAACATTCTTAGGATAACGTTCACACATCCCTCTTGGTCCACAGGGCACTGTGCAATCCAGCCCCATGGCTACTTCTCCAAACTCATCTCAGGGATTTCTCATCTTCACTCTGTGCTCCGGCTTCACCCGTGCTGTTAGGCTCCTCAGGCAGGCGTAGCTCTCTCACCTCAGGGCCTTTGCACTTGTTGTTTCTTCTGTCGTCCCCATCCCGCTTTCTTCATATTACTGGCTTCTTTTGATGTTACCTTAAATTTCACACACACACCCCAGAAAGAACATTCTTGCCCACCCTTGCCAGAAGTATATCTACCACGATTCTCTCTCTGGCTCTGTTCTTAGTACTCTCCAGCATGGGAAGATATTTATATATGGTCTGTCTTCCCCATCAGCAAGACTGCCTTGTAGTTGCCCTAGTGCCTGGCACATAGGAGGCGCCTGATACATATTTGTTGAATGCATGAGGATAAAGGCACAAGATATCCAGCTGCCTCCAAGTAGCGGAGGTCATGCAGGATGGACACATTTCTGAACCCCTGCAATGCAAGTTCCTGAATCCCAAGTACATATTTCAAAAGACTGTAACCAAGAAGAAAACTCTCAGGCTCGCAAGGCGTCAGTTCAGTGCTGCTTTCAAGAACAGGGCTCCTCAGAAACGCTCTGCCTAAGGAACAGCAAGTAACAACAGGTCTCACCAGCACTTCATTTCGTAACTCCAAAGATATCGAATCACTTCATGAGAAGGGAACAGCCCTTCCTACCAAGAATGAAACATTACCCAGAAACACGACAGCATCTGTACCCAAGGGCTAGGCTTGAAGCAGATGAAAACAACAACCAACTGGAATTCACGGATGTTTCAACAGCACACTGGGGAGAGAAAATCCCAGGCTGCCTCACAGGATTCTGCTCGAGGTTTGCTTCAGGGCATCCAATTACACAGCTCCCTCTCCACAAACCTTAATCACAAGCCTTAATCAGCTCCCTTTCCAGGGGCTTAGGGCTTTACAGTGTCTGTGATCACTCTTGCCAGCCACTCCAGTGGCTGCAGCATGAGGCCCGTACCTTCAGGATGCTCCCATAATGCCCTGGGCGGTGCCGGCTCACCTCCGTGAAAAGATACCTTCAACAAGCAATGCTGCCTAAGAGGTGCTGGTTAATAGGGTGCTTGTCTCCATTCACATTTTTCATATCAAGGATATCAAACAGCAGCAAAAGAGGTCATGGTAGCAAAAAGCTATTTCTGGGAAAAGCGTCTGATGGGGGAAGGGCCCAAAAAGATTTCATTCACTATGTGACTGGCCCCGTTGAGTTATCTGGAAATCAGAGGCTGCTGGAAACCTGCCCCTGGAAGTCCTTCCCCACAAAGGCTTGTGGCCAACGGGAATGCTAAGGCAGGGATGCCAACAGGGCTTTCTTGCTTTGGGGGAAATATTAGGTTGTAGCCCAAGATAAGTTCATTCTCAGCAGCTGGGCAGAGAATACTTATCTTCAAGTGTTTACCTTTTTCAGATGCAATAGAGTTTTTTTTCTGCACCCTTCAACCTGCCACCCGCAATCAAAGGCCAGGCTGTGGCCTTCACAGCCAGGACCTCCCCACCTGTGCAACCTCTGCCCAGACACCCAAGTCCTATCTCAGGATTCCAAGTTGAAGAGTTTCTCCTATCACTTCCAACCCCTTGCCTCCGTGAAGAAGTTCTTCCCCGAAACGCAGCAAACTCTTCTTGAAACTCAGACAACGACACGAACGAGCTTGTCGCCATGCTTTGTTTAACTTTTTTTTTCTCAGAAATATTCTTGTGGCCAAAAATAGAACATTTTCCGTTCCGGGGAACAAACAGCATCCATGGGAATTAAAGTAGTGCCTCATGCCTCTCCAGAAAATTCCTGCACGCACACTCATGCACACATAAGCTGCTTGCAAGTTCCAAAAAGTCGCTTTCTGTAGGTACAGCGGTGAACAGGAGCCAAAAGTCCTCTGTTTATTTTCTATCCAAGAAAATTGCCAGATAAAAAACACAAGGGCACCTCAGGGAGGCTTTATAGGAAAAATCTAACTTAATCTGGTGTAATGATTTTGAAAATGGCCCCATTGTCCACCCCTCCTCCTCTCACCACTATCCTAGAATTTGTCTCAATACTCACTCCTCTAAAATTCCAAAACGTCATGGCCTTTATTCTGGCAAGCTACTGCTGGATGGTTAGCCGTGAGGTTTCTCTAAACTTACGCCTTCGATGGAATCAGAAATGACACATTTAGGAAAAAATTCTCAATCTTAAATACTGAACTAGGTAAAATGAAGCCTTGTGTAAAATGTCAGAAAAATAGTAATCCAGAAATTAGGCTACTAGCACAAGATGCGGCAGTATTTTATACACTCTTACGTGTCCTACAAATTTATTATTGTCAGCATTTCCATAATCCTCTTTAATGAGACTTACATGGCTACGATGACATTTCTTATTTTTACGTTGGACTATGCAGCCCATTGACTATCCGCCACCTCTCCAAAACAGGGATTGTATTAGCTATGAGGTCTGCAGGGGCTATGTGGTTTTTGTTTTGTTTTGTTTCTTTGTTGTTGTTGTTGTTGTTGTTTTGGAAAAGGAGTCTTGCTCTGTCATCCAGGCTGGAGTGCAGTGGCACAACCTTGGCTCACTATAACCTCCGCCTCTAGGATTCAAGCAATTCTTTTGCCTCAGCCTCCCAAGTAGCTAGGATTACAGGCGCATGTCACCATACCCAGCTAATTTTTTGTATTTTTAGTAGAGACGGGGTTTCACCATGCTGGCCAGGCTGGTCCTGAACTCCTGACCTTGTGATCCACCTGCCTCGGCCTCCCAAAGTGCTGGGATTACAGGCGTGAGCCACTGTGCCCAGCTGGGGCTATGTTTTTATATGCAGTTGGTAAGAATTTAGAAATGAGGATAAGCAAAAGGAAAGGTCCTTTAAAATAACTGGATCTATTGCTGACACCAGAAGTAGGAAGAACTAATAAGCCAATGTAGGGACAGTGAAGGAAAGACCAAGAAATGGGACAAAGCATAAGAATAGGGGAGGAAAACAGGAAGTAAGAGACAGCTAAGAATCTGAACATCAAACACTAATTGATGGGTGAGTGGAGGTGAACCAAAGTAAATTGACTGACCCAAGAGGGGCTGTGGGAAAACAAGTATGGCAAGAGAGGGGGGACAGGAAGGCCAAAGGGAGAAGGAGGCATATAGTCTAGTAGTTAGAGAACAGTTATTTACCAGTTGGGTTACGTTGGCCAGTTCACCATTCTGAAGCTCAATTACTTGGTATATTAAGTGGAGATACTAGAATCTCATGCAGGAGCATGTGGATTAAATGAGTTAATACAGAAGATGCTTAGAACAGTGGATGGTTTAGAGTAAACATTCAGCAAAGGTTAGCTATTATTACCAAAAGACAAACATATTCCATATTTCCATCAGAGAACATTTGCTTATGAGCTAGACCTTCAGTTATACTGTCCTTGAATTCTTCTAACACATATGGAAGCACAAAAATTATGAGGGAGCTGCGAACCCAAGTGCAGGTGAAAGAGATTACAGGATAGTGGTCCAGATGCTGACAAGTACTTGCAACAATTAGCCCCCAGAGATTGAACGAAAGGGAATTCGTAGCCGAGAATTTATCACAACCACTGTTCCCATTTTCAACTTTGATACTTCATTCAGTCAACAAACATCATGCAAGCAACTCTTGAAGCCTGCACACATTTGGTCTCGCCCCAGCTTATCTTTCTGGAATCAGCTTGAGCCCCTTCCACCAACCTCACCATTTTGTAGCTGCACCAGGGTAATTATTCAACAGACATTTCTTGTTCTTATGATCCTGCCCTCCTGCATTTGCTCAAGTTGTTTGCTCAAACTGGAATTTCCTTTCCTATTTCTGTAGTCTAGCAAGATATTAGTCATCCACGCAGGCCAAATGTTATGTTGGTTTTTGTGCCCTCCCTTTTCTTCTCCCCCATTGTTCAGCAGGATGAATCCTCCTCACCTCAGTTCTCTTGGCGTACAAGTGGTAAATATTAATACATACACCTCATTGTGGATTGAACTGTGTTGCTCAAAGATGATATTGTGAAGTCCTGACCCTTTGTGTGTTACCTTATTTGGAAACAGAATCTTACAGATTACAGAAGTAATCAAGTTAAAATGAAGTCATTAGGGTGGTCCCTAATCTGACTAGTGTCCTGATAAAATAATAAAACTTGGAGGCCGGGTGCAGTGGCTCGGGCTCACACCTGTAACTCCAGCACTTTGGGAGGCCGAGGAGGGTGAATCACTTGAAGTCAGGAGTTCAAGACCACCCTGGCCAACATGGCAAAACCCCGTCTCTACTAAAAATAAAAAATTAGTCAGATGTGGTGGCACACACCTGTAATCCCAGCACTTTGGGAGGCCCCGTGGCTGGCAGATCACTTGAGGTCAGGAGTTTGAGACCAGCCTGACCAACATGGTGAAACCCTATTCTACTAAAGATACAAAAATTAGCTGGGCATGGTGGCACACGCCTGTAGCTGCTCTAGAGGCTGAGGCAAGAGAATCGTTTGAACCAGGGGAGCGGAGGCTGCAGTGAGCCAAGATTGTGCCACTGCACTCCAGCCTGGGCGACAGAGCAAGACTCCATCTCAAAAAAAAAAAAAAAAGAAAGAAAGAAAGAAAAAGAAAATTTGGACACAGAGACACATGTACAAAGGAACGACACATGGAGAACTCCAGGGGTAGGTAGAGGATTAGAGTGATGCATCTACAAAGTCAAAGAGCCACCAGAAGCTGGAAGAGAGGCATGGGCCTGACTCACCCTCACAGCACCCAGAAGGACCCAACTCTGACATCGCCTCGATTTCGGACATCTAGCCTCCAGAGCTGTGAGAGAATACATTTCTATTATTTAGAGCCGCCCAGTTGTGACACTTTGTTAGGACAGCCCTAGGAGACTAATCTGCACCTCAACCACAGCACATGCTTGGTCTCCATGGGAGATCCCTGAGGTCAGGAACCGAAGAGCATTTGTCTCCAGATTCTCAGACCTCTGACATCATCTGGCAGGTAAAAGGCTCTCTAAACTCTAAATTCTTATTAAGTAACTCTCTAGGAGTCCACAGTCTAGACCAGGGGTCAGTAAACTCCTGGCTTGTGGGCCAGATCTAGCCCACTGCCTGTTTCAGTAAATAAAGTTTTATTGGAATACAGCCACGCTCATTCGTTTGTTTTGTCTATGGCTGATTTCACACTAAAACAGCAGAGTTGAGTAGTTGCAACAGAGACCATATGGCCTGTAAAACTTAAAATATTTACTCTCTGGCCCTTTACCAAAAAATTTTACTGACCCCTGGTCTAGAAGGAAAGAAACATAAATGAAGCATAGCAATAGACTAAAATCAGTTCTATAATATAACACAGATAGGTGCAGAGAAAAGAATTATGGGTTGAATCAGTATTTATAGAGAAGATGACATTTTTAAAGTGAGAGTCTAGTTGGAAAAGTCAAAATACATCATTTATTCCCTCTATTGTGTCCTCTGAACTAACAACCTTTACACTAATGGTTGCAGAGTGGTTGAGGGCTGGAGTTATAGAGCTGGTTTGGGGGAAAACAATCATGGGTTCATTCTCTACCTATTGAGTTGGACTGGCCAGTGGCATACCCAAGACGAGATGTCCACTCACTAAACATTGCTGAGAAGTCTAGGTCAGAGGCACAGATTTGGGGCTTAACACAATACAGATGAAGCCCTCACAGGAAGAGAGAAGCTTACCCAGCAAGAGTAGGAGGTGAGAAGACAGTTGCACAGGAAATTCAGGGAACTTCAGAACTTAGCAGCAGCAAAGGAAGAGGAAAAGCCCCTGAGGGGCCTTTTTACAGAGAGGAGAGACAGGAAAAAAGAGGGAACGCTGTCCCTCGGGCCCAGGAAAAGAAGGTCCAGTAATGTCCAGAGGCCAGGAGAATGAATCCAATATATTTAACAACCAAGAGGCCAATGGCCTGATGTCAGTCATTTCAGCTGCTCATCACTGGCACAAGTTACTCCTCAAACTGAACCATAGGAAAAGAGAACTTCAGTTATCATGAATAGAAAACAATAGAGACTAAGAGAAAGAAAAACAAAAATCAAGAAAGGAGATGGAGAAAAGCACAGAAATTGAAGATTACAGGGCTGAAATTAACACCTCATCCATGAAATCTATGTTATGCTTGTTCTCTATCCATTTCCTACTTTATCTAAACTCAACAGAGCTAACTGAAAAAACAAAGAAAATTCTTCCATTTGAGACAGCGTGGATGAATCCAGAGGACATGATGCTGAGTAAAGTAAGCCAGACACAGAAAGACAAACACTGCATGATCTCACGTACATGATTCTAAACAAATCAAACTCATAGAAACGGAGTGTAGAAAGGTGGTCAGGGGATGCAGGATACGATACAGGGAGGAGATTTTGGTCAAGGAGTATAACATTTCAGTCATAAAAGAAGTTCTGTAGATCTAATATACAACCTGGTAACTACAGTTCATAATACTACACTGTATGCTTGAAACTTGCCAAGAGAGCAGGTCTTAGGTGTTCTAATCACAAAAAAAAAAAAAAAAAAAAAAAAAAAAAAACTGTATGAGGTGAAAGATGGGTTAATTGTGAAATCACTCCAAATGTACACATATAATTGTCCCCCCTTATCCAAGGGAAATATGTTCCAAGATCCCCAGTGGGTGTCTGCAACCACAGATAATGCTTAGCCCTACATGTACTATGCTTTGTCCTGTACATACAGATCTATGATAAAGTCTCATTTATAAACTAGGCACAATAGGATAGTAACAATGATAACTAGCAAAAAATAAAACAGTTATAACAATATACTATAATGAAAGTTATACAAAGGTGGCCTCTCTCGCTCCTTCTCAAAATATCTTATTGTACTATATTCATTGATTTGCAGACCTCAGTTAACTGTGGGTAACTGAAACCATGCAAAGAAAAACCATGAATTAGGGGGAACTACTGTATATCAAAACATCACATAGTACCCCTTGAATATGCACAATTTTAATTTGTCAGTTGTACCTCAGGAAAGTTGAGCAGAAAAGAAATAAATTCAACAGGGCTGAAAATTAATCAAGTGCATATGATTCATTCTTTTAGACAGCCCAGAAAATTCGATAACTGACTTAAAGCACATTAACAGGTTTTAAAGTAATCCCAGCTACAAATTATTGACTGCCCGCTCTGCGCCAGGTGCTGCGCAAGTCGCTTTAGATGGATTACCTCATTTGATCCCCACTAAAACCCTGTGTGGCGAATATATAGTAAAGTATAATTTATGACTTTTAGATGAGGAAGTTGAGGTTCAGAAATATCTCACAGCTATACACCATTCTGGGAAGGAGGAAAATGGGGAGCAGAGAAGAAGGAAGGGAACCAAAGTCAATATTTATAAATTGTTTACTCTTTGTAAGTATTACTGTAAGAATTTTAAATACTTTGGCTTATTTCAGCCTCACAATAACCTATATGGAAGAGGGAATGGCAAGTAAATGAACTTAAAGAGGTTGCCAAAGGTTAGAAGTGAGTGAAAAACTGGGTTTCCAGAGACATCTCTCAGAATTCAGAAATGAACTAACTATGGAGCTATGTGAAAGTAAGATCAGTCTAAAGTCAATGCTAAAATAATACAAAATAACTCTAGCTGCCTTCTAAGACGTTTCTGAAGAGTTCCTTGAATGGAGGAAAACAGAACCATCCTCCCCTCCCCCCAGCTCCTGCAGTCCACCCACAGGAGAGGGAAAGGCCCCAACGAGGTGACACTGGCTTGAAGCTCCCCCTCTGTGTCATAAGGGATGGGACCACATGACCCTGAATTCCTTCCAGAATTAAGCATCAATGTTTCCAACCACATGATAGAATCTGGCAGGTAAAGGGACTGCAGTGAGTGTTTATTACGTAAGGAATTCACCTGAGATTTTTAAAGACCCCAATAAAGAGTGTGTAAAAAATGGTCCAATTGTCAAAAATCACTTCCCTGTCTTGGAGGGGCTTTGTTCTGCAAAGTCTCCACCTCCTTGCTTTATACAACTCCTGATATTCCAGTACAAGGTTGTGATCCAGGCCCCTCCCCGTCCTCATTCATGCATTCGTTCCACAAACAAAAAATTCTTCTTTGAAATGTAGGTCATCCATTTTAGTGAACACTTAGAAGATGATCTTGAAATAATTGGGCATGCTAACAAACAAGGGAAAGGCCTGCTTAAGAACAATCAATGTTCATAGTGCCTGATGCAAGACAAGAAAATAGATTACTTGTTCTTTATCATGGTTCTAATTAAGAATTTGGGTTCTGTGTTGTTGACTATGGAAAAATAAAACCTTCATACTCTACTGGTGGAAGTTCTCACTGCTTCTGGAAAATAATCTGGCAATCCTTATCATGAGCTTTAAAGTAAGTCAAGCCCTTTGACTATGGAATTCTAAGTATATAAACTTAGGAAAAGCATCAGAAAAGCAGGATGAGGGAAATAGTATCATGTTTTCTCAGACTCTGGATTTATAGTGCCTGTACTATTCAAATGCTCACTTAGATGATCTTAACCTCTGTGCCTCAGTTTCCTCATCTGAAAAATGGAGATGACAATAGTCTCTGCATCACAAAGTTAATATCAAATGAGTTTAAAAGTGTAACATAATTTACATTTATTTTCTCTCTTTTTCTTTTCTTTTTTTTTCTTTTTTTTTTTTTTTTTGAGACAGAGTCTTGCTCTTTCAACCAGTCTGGAGTGCACTGGTGCGATCTTGGCTCACTACAACCTCCACCCCCACAGGTTCAAGCAGTTCTCATGCCTCAGCCTCCTGAGTAGCTAGGATTACAGGCACACACCACCCTGCCCTGCTCATAATTGTGTTTTAGTAGAGACCATGTTTCACCATGTTGGCCAGGCTGGTCTCAAACTCCTGACCTCAAGTAATCTGCCTGCCTTGGCCTCCCAAAGTGCTGGGATTATGGGCGTGACCCACCACACCCAGCCTCTTATTTATTTCTCATAGAAATGCCATAACGAAGGCAAGAAAGATATTGACCTGACATAGTCAATAGTAAGCACTCTCAATGAAATACAGTTTATTTTTATTAGTATCATGTATATTACAAAGATATAAAGATGTTCATTATATTATTATAGTGAAAATGTGTCAAAAATTATTCAATAATAAGAGAACAGTTAAATAAATGATACTTTCATATGATAAAATAAGCAGATATTTAAAATGTTGATTTCAAAGAGAAGTTAACAAAATGGGAAAAATTCATCAAATAATGTTAAGTGAAAAAGTAGGTTGAGAAATTGCATGGACTGTGTGATCACAATTTTGACATGACATTACAGTGGATACTGAATGCAGTCTTTGCCCAGCTTCCCTTTGTGAAGTATACACGTCTCTCTCCAGCTGCTGGGAATATCACTGCTGATAGCACACAGCTGCATCCCCTATTGGGAATCGTCCATGGCCCTAAAAAATAGAATCATCCAGAATTAGCCCCTCTAGGGGGCCAGTGACTCACTGATGCAAGGATACAAAAGTCGGGCCTGTTACCTTACTTTGGGTCAATTCTAAAGGGCCATCCCAGCTCCACAGCTCCCTCCATGATTGGATGAGTCTCAGTTGCAACTGCATCTGGAGCCAGATTCTTTTCTGCACAGCACAGTCCTTCCTTACTTTCTTACAAGGAGCATCTCCTGAAAGCATGCTCCCAGTAAGCATTCAGCAGGCAGTTCTCAGAGTCTGTTTCCAGGGAACCCAATCTAAGATATATTTAGATCAAAATATAATGAAGAGATGGAACATGGTAGATTAGGGGGGCAATGAAACTATTCTATATCATACTTTAGTGGATACATGTCATTATACATTTGTCCAAACCCATGGTATATACAAGAATGAACCCCACTGTAAACTATGGACTTTGGATGATAATGTTGTCTTGATGCAGGTTCATCAGTTGTAACAAATGTCTTCTCTGGCAGGAAATGTTGATAATGGGGGAGGATCTGCACGTGTTGGGAAAGTGGGTATATGGGAACTCTCTGACCTGCTCAATTTTGCTGTGAACCTAAAACCGCTCTAAAAAATTAAGTCTATTAAAAACATATATATTATGAGGGAATAGCTCTGAGTAAAGAAATTTCTGGGCTTTCTGATTTCTGTATAAAAAGTATGTATTACTTATTTTAAATGAATAAAATGACATTGTTTTAAAAGAGGCAGAGTCCTCCCTGGGCTGTTATAATTAATTAAGCCCATGAATGTCAATACATAGATTTTGTTTTATTTCTTTATCTCAAGCTGAGTTTTCTTTAAAAATATGCAAATGTTTTCATTTAAGTGGCATCACTCGTAAGTAATGAGCCTAGATTACATATGCACACATACACTTCGGAGTATAAGTGTCTCAACCTGGCCATCAGGTTCATTAATCTGCATATCCTAATGATCTACTGCAGCTTAAAATCTAACTGTTTATTCTGGGAGAATTGTTCTCATATTCTGTGCTATTTACTAGTCACACAAGAAAATCAGCCTCGTGGTTTTGTAATAGTACCGTGGTAATTTATTTTTTTAAATCTTGCCCATTTTCCCACTCACCTCATTGTCCACTCAGTTAGATTCTGAAAACCACTGGAAGTTTCAAAAGATCCAATTCCTCCTCAAAAGATTAAGATTTTTCTTCATTGAGGACATTCAAAAAACGTGCCAGAGATTTTGACAGTAGTTTCAGAAGAGGAGGCCTAAGACATCTGGAGCGATGACATATTGTTGGAGAACGAGCTCAGCCACCTCCAGTAGCTGCTTGGAGAACACAATGCTTTGAATGGATTGGCTTTGGGTGTTTGTTGAAAGTAAAATCCACCATGGAACTTTGAGCTTAGATTTTAAAATAACACAACCTTAGAAGTAACTATTTGAGTCAGACTTTCTACTTGTAGGTACAGAACATCTCCTCCTATAAATGCCAAGTTATTGTTATGAGATCAGAAAAAGCCGTCAAGATCGAAGGAAACTGGAGGTGAAAAAAAAGAAGCCTGTGGAAATCTTCCACTCAAATAGTATATACTGCTTTCAGAGAAGCTATTATAACTATCGATAAAGGGGGAAATAACAGACAAAGCTTTTGGCTTTATGTTTTCTGTATCGTCAGTCTTGCCTTTGTGAGGATATACAATGTTCTTGCATCAGCAGCAGTTAGATTTTTTCCCACTGGAAACATCGAGTACTGCCTGATGTGATATAAGGTATTCAGATAAAAGATTTTCATATTTGGAGAGGAAATACTGCATGAAGTCCAGGGAAATAGCTTGTTTTTAAAATGGTAGTCTTTCTAGTAATCCAATTCTGGGAGACTAACTCAAGATAATAAGAAGAAATATAGGAAAAACTTCATGCATAAGGATATCAATCATAATGCTATTATTTATGTATAAATATTCTCACAACAGTGAGAATAAGCTAAATGCTCCACAGTAGGCAAATGGTTTGAGTAAACTCTGCTGCGTCAACTCACTAATGTTTCTGAAGATTTTATAATAATAAGGAAAAAGAGTTATAGTGTTGAATGAACAATGCCGGATATACAGTTCTAGGTCTGATGTAACGTGAATCTCACACACACACACACACACACACATATACATACACACACACCAAGAAAGCATTAAAAAATAACTAGAAGGAAAAACTACAGAATGCCACCAACCAGGGGATGTCTTAGTGAAGTTTTATGTATTTTTTTCCCTTTCTTCTACTTGTCCGTATGTTACTCATTTCTTTTAATGAAATAGAAATTATAAACCTTATATTATAAAAATAAAAAGAGGCGGAGGGGCCGGGCACAGTGGTTCACTCCTGTAATCCCAGTACTTTGGGAGGCCGAGGCAGGCGGATCACCTGAGGTCGGGAGCTCGAGACCAGTCTGACCAACATGGAGAAAACCTGTCTCCACTAAAAATGCAAAATTAGCCAGGCATGGTGGCACATGCCTTGTAATCCTAACTACTCGGGGGCTGAGGCAGGCGAATTGCTTGAACCAGGGAGGCAGAGGTTGCATGCGGTGAGCCGAGGTCACGCCATTGCACTCCAGCCTGGGCAACAAGAGTGAAACTCTGTCTCAAAAAAAAAAAAAAAAAAAAAGGTAAGAAAAGAGGAGAAGGAAGAGAATGGCTATACCTTCACCCTGGTTACTGAGGTGATCAGCGAAAATAAATGGAAGAAGCCTTGATGGATCATTGAAATCAGCCACCAGGCTGCTAATATGGAAAACGAGCAACGTAAGAAACTGACCTAAAAGAACACGTTAAAATACGAGTGAAAGAGTAGGCACTGTAAGAATTTGCATTAGGAAAGTTTTTTGAAATGCTTGTCAGTGTGGTTTTATCATGTTTCTTTTCACTCAGACCTTTCTTCCATTCTGTGAGCTGTGTATTCGGAACCACTTGTTCAAAAAGAAAGGAAAACCTAAGACCCTATCTCAAAATGAGACCCTGACTTAGAAAGAAAAACCACAAATCTGTTCTCGGCCTGGGTTTTAGAGCCCAAGGCCAGTGAGGAGTCGAAGAATTTGGGACACGAAATAAGAGAAAGTCTAGCTGACCCTCCATATTAGAAAACATTGCCCAGACTAGGATGAAAGAGAGACGTGGAAAGCAAGCTAAGAGAGTTGGACACTGGTGGATCCCAAACGGTGGGTCCTGCAGCCTGGCCCCGCCCAGTGACCTTGTGGGAATGAGAAGGCAAATGCCTCAAACCCCATGCAGGCTTGATGATACGGGTGCCCCTTTCCCAGGTAAAGTCATGGAGGCTGCAAGATGTCAGAGGAGAAAATGTGGCCATGTGAGATCTAAGCAGCCCAAATCAACTGAGTTTCCCCATGCAAAAATGATGCAGAAGAGAGGTTGGATTCCTATATGCCTAAGAGCACTCAGGAGGTGTGAATTCTACCAGTAACCAGCTACCCAGCCACCCAGCAGGACATGGAGGGACAGAATACCTTTTAGGCTCCCAAGGGCCCACTGATACGCTCAGGGCCTTATCAGCCTTAGTAAGTTCCTGTGTCCAAGGAGTTGCATCCAAGAGAGACACACTTGCTGGAGAAGCCCTTTAAGACTCGTTGGGATGTAGATTTTTATTACATGCCACTCCTGTACACATAAAAAAGAAAATAAATGTATTAAGAAATTCCTAAACATATCTCTTCATTCAGAGTCTAACTCTTCTGCATCACTGTTTGTATTTTTCTCCTCACTATTTTTCTCTGTTGGTGATGAAACATTTCGTACTAGTATCCCCACTCTTGACTCCAGGTTTTCTTCCAAGATGTTGTCACCCATTCTGAAAGGTTTGTTGTGAGTGCATTCTTGCTTGGCATGTACTAACACGCAGTGCTTTTTTTTACATAACTCTGTATCACAGTTTCGTATACTTATAGTAATTTAATTCTCTTACTCTGTATGACACTGTAGCTTTGAAGTGATTCTTATAATTTTTATTTTGCTTTTCTAAAATATTTACACTCCACTACTGTTTCTGAGCCTTTCTGTTCATTATAAGTTTTCATTTCATTACTGAAACTCAGGATAATCTTTTTGAAAATATTTCAAACAGCAACTAAACTCTGTCTGGGTAATACCAACAGTGCACATTATTCAACTAAAGAGGTAACAATATCTAAACACCTGTGACCATGTTCACACACATACAGACAATGGCAACTATATCAGCACTGCCACCCAGCAAATAGCAATTCAAACATGCCATCAATGATTAGATCCAGATTTCAGAGATGTTAGCATATAAAAAGGCATATATTGGAATTAATAAAATACGGTATTTTGAGTTAAAGGAAAATGTAAAGTACATTTTTTACACACCTAAACTTACAGAACAAAGTTATACCCATTACACTGGTATAAGGCCAACCCCATACAGCAAAGAGAGACTATCACTTGCATTTTAAACGCATCCAGTTAGGAGTTTCATTAGCAGGCTGGCCACAGGATAAGGTCCAAAGTTCTTAGTCTAACGTGATCTCATGATCTCTGGCGGGATTAGGTTAAGTAGGAACAGGATCCCTGAGCTGCCGACACAAAGAGAAAGGTTATATGGCTTCACACAGGAAGTGTCACAGCATGCATCTTTCTGTCTCTTCAAAGAAGACATTTTCAGCCTGGCCCTTAATCAAGTACTGAGTCTTCCTGACAAAGAGCAGACTATAAACTTCCCTTCATGATGTGGCTGCAGCACAGTCTTTAAAAATGTATCTTTATATATAAAAAACGTTTTTATATTAAAAAGTGTGCATATACAGGGAAAGAGAGGATAGACATGTGGCTAACAGCTTAGGCTTCTAGTCCAACCAATATGTATTTGAGTCCCAGATCTGCATTTATTAATGTATGACAACTTGTTTAATTTCTGTGTGGCAGAGACTGGCTAGATATTCACCAAAATTGCTTCCTCTTCTCCTAGGTGTATAAGAAGATGATATTTCCCAGCCCCCTTGCATTTCAACAGAGACGTGTAATTGATTCCTGGCCAATGAAATTTGAGCAGAAGGAGTATACCACTTCTAGGCCTGGGTTCTAAACCCTTCTGTATGATCTCCACTTCCTCTCTTTTCAGCTGCCACCAGATTCAGAGGACCTAAGGGAGGATTCCGAGACCCATATGAAAGGAGCCTGAATCCGTGATAATTATGTGGAGTAGACACCCTTGACCACTAAAGTACATGGACATGAGCAATAAAATAAGGCTTTGTGTGTTACAGTAGTTATCACACCCTATTTAATACAAGCTGTATACCTCAGCTTCTTCACCAGTGGCAAAGATTAAGTTAATTACTCAAAGGAGTAGCACAATGCCTGCCACACAGTAAGTACTAAATAGTAGAAGCTATGTTACTGTTGTTGTAGATACCATCACTGTTATTACTGAGGCAAAGAACTCAGGTATAGATGTTGAACAAGCAGTCAGTTTTTTTGTGTATATATTAGAGGGAAGTAAAACTTTTCTAAATATCAACTGGTGCAGACTTATGTAAAGTGAAATTTGAGCAATCACATTTCAGACACCAAGAATCATCCGCAAATAGTAAGTAATAAAGACCCTGAAAGAAGGAAGTGACTGATTCCTGAGCAGGCAGCGTAGGTTAAGGACAAGTGTCGGTTAAGGACCGGCGTCAGAGTTAGAAGGAGGTTAGCAGAAGCTGAGAGAAGAGGAATCCAGATCAGGCCAGAACAGAAACTGCTCCCCAGGGCCACACTGGGCAATGTTTCTCAGCAGTGCCCCAGGGAAGAGGAAGTAGTTGCCATCATCAAAATTCTACTCCCTGAATATAGAATGGTTAAATTAAAATAGAATTAAATACATGTAGTTCTTATTGTTTCCATAAAGTTATCAGAGACCATCCTGGCAACTGCTCTAGAGACATCCCCCACCTGCCATTCGGATTTGATTCTCGTAAATTAAATGAATCCTTCTTGTCAAACATTGCTTTAACAGCTTTATTTCTTTTGTTTTTGTTTGTTTGTTTGTTTGTTTTTGTTTTTTGGATGAAGTCTTGCTCTTGTCCCCAAGGCTGGAGTGCAATGGCACGATCTCGGCTCACTGCAAACTCCACCTCCTGGGTTCAAGTGATTCTCCTGCCTCAGCCTCCTGAGTAGTTGGGATTACAGACACCTGCCACCACGCCTAGCTAATTTTTGTGTTTTTAGTAGAGATGGAGTTTAACCATGTTGGCCAGACTGGTCTCAAACTCCTGACCTCAGGTGATCCACCCGCCTTGGCCTCCCAAAGTGCTGGGATTGCAGGCATGAGCCAACGTGCCCGGCCACAAGCTTTATTTCTAACTGTGTGTGCAACACATTCTACCGGCATTTGAGACTTTCCCAAGTCAATCTCGTCAGTTGTTTATTCATTCAATCAGTCATTTATTCATTCACTCAGTCATTCATTCAAACATTTATTGAGCACCTACTCTGTGCCAAGCACTGTGTTACCAGACATACAGCAGCAGCAAAACAAATACAGCTTCTGCCCTCATTGTTCTTAGCAGGGGGCAGGGAAGATAGACCAGAAAAAGCAAAACAAATAAATGTATAATTACATATGTAGGAAAGTAATTTGAATGTGAAAAAAATAAAATTATTAAGTTTCTGGTAGAGAAGAACAAGAGGGACTGGATTTAGAGAGAGCACATGGGGAACCCTGCCTGAGGAGATGATGTTTAAGCATAAATATGAAGAAACAAGAGTTGACCAGGGGTAAAGTGCTCCAAAGCATAAAGAAGGATCTTGGGCAGGGGAAGAAGCATTTCAACAACTGCAAAGAAGCTACTGTAATTGGAGTCCAAGAGTGAGCAAAGGTGAACGCGGAGCAAGATAGGTTGGAAAGGTAAGGAAGTAGTAGACTGTGCAGGGTCACAAACAAAGCTGGGGTCTAAGCCAAAGACATAGTTGGGGTCCTTTCCAAGTGCAACAAAAACCACAGGAGGGTTTTAAGTGGATGCTGTCATGTGATCTGGCTTACAATGTTTAAAGTTCATTGAAGATTGCCAAGTGGAGAACTGGCTAAAGGAGACAAGAGAAGAAGCAAGAAGACCCCTTAGGAGGAGACTGTTTCCATTCTCAAGCACACGCTGGTGGCAAGCTGGATGAGCAAGGGGCAGGGACAGTGACAGAAAGGACATATGCGAGAGGTATTTTGGAGGTAAATACTTCAGGACTTGCAGATGTGAGAGTGAGGACAACGGAGGGATAAATGTCAACCCTCAGATTTTCTGCTTAACCAGCTGGGCATATAAATGTGCATTTTACTGAGATGGGAAAAGATGGAGAATAAAATGGATTCGGGAACAGAGAAATCAGAAATTCCATTTTGGACTTGTTACTTGGGAGCTATCACGGAAGCCTGGTGTCTCAGCACTTCTTTCTGAGCTTTCCTCCCATTCTCTCCTAACAATAACTCTCTGATAATCAATTTGGACATTTTCCTGTCCCCCAAAGGCCTCCAACAGTAGGGAAAATCTTTCTCTCTGAATGATTCTACTCCCTATTTTCTACCTACCAAAATCGTATTGATCTACTCTCACCCTGCATTTACCATCAAGTTATTTATATCATTCATTTGAAGTGCCACATGACAGTAATGAATGGGAATTAAGAGTAAAAACTTTGGATTCACTCACATCTGGGTTTTAACCCTGGCTCTGCTATTTGCCAGTTGTACGATAAATTGAGCAAACCATTTAACTTCTTTGAGCCTCAGTTTCTTATCTGTAAGATGGCATAGTCAACCCACCGTGGCAGACACTGCTGTGTATATACCCAATGTAAGTTCTCCCCTCATTTTTCCTTCTTCTAGAGCCCCAGTTTTGTTCAGGGTAACAATGTGCTCAGCTAAAATGCTCAAGCAACTGGCTTCCTTAAAGCTGGTGGCAGCCTACTGACATTGTTCTGCGTAATAGTATATAAGAGGAAGCATGCTTGAATTTCTGGGAAAGCATTGCTTTTCTTCTATAAGTGCCCCACGCCCATTACTCCATCCTTCAGCCTGCTTTACACACAGATGTGATGCTTGAAAGGGCAGCAACTATGACTGTGGAGCTAAGGACTGTAGAGCAGAAATATAGAGGAGGCTGTGTCCCTGGTGGCCTTAACCAGGGTAACAAACTCTAGGTTTTTTGTAGCATGATATAAATAACCTCCTTACTTGTTTAAGCCAGTATATGTGTATGTGTGTGTGTGTGTGTGTGTGTGTGTGTAGGCTTTTCTGTTGCCAGTCAGCAAATACATTTTAACAAACCCATCTACTTCATGGGCTGATTTGGTAAGTATTAAATAAGCAATGTCTATATAATGCTCAGTGGCTGCTGATAGTTATTATGTTACTCTTACTTTGCTATTTAAGTCATTTTGGTATATATGCCTTGTTCCCTCAATAGACTATACATGACCTCAAGACAGAGATTTCTGTAGCTTTTAATCATCCATTCCCACACATAATGGGTGCTCAACAAATCCATTGACAAGGTGACCACCCTTTCCTTTTCTGAAGAACATCAGCCCAAATTGTCTTTATTCCTCCTCTTTTCTCCATCCATTGCTTTAGTTTTCATCAGTAGTGCCAGCTTCAAAGAGATGTTTTCCTGTGATCGTTTTTAAAAAATAAATGTTATTATGTATATTTAAGGTATATAACATGTTAAGGGATATACAGAGATAGCAAAAACGTTATTATAGTGAAGCAAATTAACATAGTCATCATTTCACATAGTTACCCATGGCAAGAGCGCTAAAATCTACTCATTGACAGTGAATTCTATACACAGCACGGTTTAATTACCTAAGATCTTCATGTTGTAGCTTAGATTTCTAGACTTGTTAATCCTACATATCTACCACTTTCTATCCTCTGACCCACATGACTCCATTTCCTCTTCACTCTCTACCCCTGCCTCAGTAACCACTGTTTTGTTCTCTATCTCTATATATTTTCAATGTATTTATTTATTTTTTTAATTTTATTTATTGAGACAGAGTCTCACTTTGTCACCCAGGCTGGAATGTAGTGACATGATCATGACTCACAGCAGCCTCGACCTCCTGGACTCAAGCTATCCCCCCACCTCAGCCTCCTGAGTAGTTGGGACTACAGGTGGGTACCATCATGCCTGACTATCTTTTAAATTTGTTTTGTAGAGATAGGATCACACTATGTTGCCCAGGCCGGTCTCAGGTGATTCTCCCACCTCAGCCACCCAAAGTGCTGAGATTACAGGCATGAGTCACAGGGCCCAACAGTGAATTTATTTTTAGATTCCACATGTGAGAGCATATTCTACATGTGAGGTCATATTCCACATGTGAGATCATGCAGTATTTATATTTCTGTGTCTGGCTTATTTCACTTAGCATAATATCCTCCAGGCTCATCCATGTTGTGGCAAATGGCAAGATCTTGCTCTTTTTTAGGGCTGAATAATATTCCATTGTATGTTCACACGACAGTTTCTTTATCCATTTGTCCACTGATCGACACTTAGGTTGTCTCCATATCTTGGCTATTGTAAATAATTCTGCAGTGAACATGGGGGTGAAGATATCTTAAAAAGGTGGTGATTTCATTACCTCTGGGTTTATGCCCAAAAGAGGGACAGCTAGATCAAATGGTAGTTCTATTTTTTCCTACAGTCTTATTGTTTTGTACGATTTACCCCAGTGGCCTCTCAGGCAGGCCTGATCTTTCAAAAAACAAAAACTAGAGAATGGTTTGGGAAGAATCTCAGTAACTGTCATTTCTCACACCCTAGTTTTGATGGTGGTTCAGACATTGTGGAATGGTCTTTAGGATTTTCACCTCTTTAGTAGAGCTGCCTATGGCTTCTTTCTTTCTTCACCCACTCTCTTAAAGTAAAAAAAACCATGAGTCAGAGTCATCAGTAAAGAGAAAAGTCAAACAGTATTAATGCTCTAGAGACATCAAAAGCATTATGAAAAGGAAGTGTTTAAGTGGAAAATATCCACCTATGGAAATAAAACTGCTGGCATAATGGACGGGAGAAATGGTGAGAAGCTCTTTTACCATGGAGTCAAGTCTCTGGCAAATGATCTTTGATGAATCCAATTTGCATTGGGATTTGAAACTTTCCATGCTCTTGTATTTCATCAGCTGCTTTGAGTTACTTTTAAAGAAACACATTTTTAATGAGAAATTTTTGACAGAGAGTAAGTGCAGATGTAATTCTTTGGAACAATTGTTTCCTTTGTTGATGGATTTTTTTCCACAGTGCCCACTCACAATTAAATAAACCAATAATTAAAACCCTAAACCCACTCAAAATTATTGTTTCGTCAGTCACCTCCAGAGATCCTTCTAATGTCTTTGTGGAAAGAAAGTCTTAATCAGAGATGCAATGTGCTAAGACAGAAAGCCTTAGATTTTTCAAATTTGGAGTAATAAATTCAAAACATGCAAGAACTTTTTAAGTGACTAGAAAGTTATTACAATGAAATAAAAACCCAAGGCTATATGCCATAGAACAGCTTAATCCCCTTCGGGTGGGGGGAAAGACTAGGGTTTTTTTGAGATTTTTATACAAATTACAAACACATTGAAAAATTTAGTGATATATATGTTACAGACATAGACCAACACACTTCTCTTCATGCAGACATGAAACTCAGCCTAATTTAGCCATGACATAGTGCATCTTTCTGGGTCCCTCCCTAATGGAGACAGGGTGTATTTAAATCCAATGTTCACTCATCAATTGAGTCTTTGAAGCTTCTTAAAGTAATTCAAGAATGAGTTCTCCTCCCCTATTTCTTCCTCCTCCTCACTTTCTTCTCCTTCTCTGGCATTCTCCACTTTCCTAAAAGCACTATTATCCTGCCAACAACACAAGCAGGCAACTTCCAAGGGTAACACAGACTGTTTCTTTTCACGGCCTACTTGAGCTATTTCTCTGTAATTTAATTTCTTTTTCATCTGCTCTCTTCCTGTTCTCCTTTTATTAAAACTACATCATTATTATTATTATTATTATTATTGATTGATTGAAATGAGGTTTCCCTTGTCACCCAGGCTGGAATGCAGTGGTGAGAACATAGCTCACTGCAGCCTCAACTTCCTGGACTGAAGCCATTCTCCCGCCTCAGCCTCCCAAGTAGCTGGGACTTTAGGCACATGCCATCACTCTCAACTAATTAAAAAATATATATATATTTGTAGAGATGGGGGGTCTCACAACATTGACCAAGCTGGCCTCAAACCCCTGGACTCAAGGGAACCTCCCGCCTTAGCCTTCTAAAGTGTTGGGATTACAGTCATGAGCCACCACACCCAGCCTATTTTCTTATCTTGCACCAGATCTCCCAATGTCCACTCCTTCCTCACTCTAATCCTCACAACACAGTGTTTCCAAGTTAATATTCCTAAAGGCAGCTAATGAATCACTCCCTTCCTCACTCATGAAACTCTGCTATTCACTTTGCCTGCCTAGGGGCCATTACAGAGGTTAAGCCGCAATTTACCTTTTTGGTTCAACATGCATCTTCCTCCATTTGTGTACCCTTAGCACCCCAGCTAATCTGAATTGTCCTTAGTTTTCCATATATACTGGCTTCGACCCTCTCCAGATCTTCGATCGTGTTATTTTCTCCACAAGGGATGCCACTGTTCTTAAGTCAGCAAATCTCAATCCTATCCACCCTTCAATTCCCAATTCAAGAAAAGAATACCCCACGAATTGGGCCTTGAAGGATGGCTGCAGGTTCGTAAGAATCCTAGAATGTTCAGAAAATTTCTAGAGCTGATGTCTATCACATTCAAGCTTTCTCTTTCTGCACTCAGCTGATTTTAGACATTTCTCTAAAATGCTCATTTCCTGCTATTAATTCTCACCTTTTTTTCCCTTTGATCTTTTGTTTACTGAACAAATGAACTGAGAAGTGAGTATCGCTCATATAAAGAGTTCTGGAGGTGCAAGTAGACATGTCGGAGACAGTCTACCCAGCATCATTTGTAAATTACCAATCACTCACATCTTGAAAGCATTAGTTAAAACCTTTGTGAGGTAATGGAAGATAGTCACGCCTCTTGAGTAGGAGTGTGAAGAGATCTCAGCCCTACTAGTAAACCCTAAATCCTCAAGCTCTGGGCATTGCCATCCTGCACCAAGAAATTCACACTCCAATTTTATAAGGTTTCCTATGATGAAGAAAACAAATTAAAAGTAACTGGCTGGCACTAAAGACAGAGTTTTAAAGTTTCCACTGCCTGCCTAAATGTGGATTTCCCGCATTGTCCATATCTTAGGCCAGGTCTTTTGATTGCAAGAACACTCAAGTTGACACATACAAAGAATTAATATTATGAGAATACATAGGAATCTCATAGATTCCCAAGGACAATAAACTATAACACATTCTGGTGCCTCATGAGAACTGGAGCTTGGGAACCAACAGGAACTATGGCCACTTAATGTCTTGGGACTTCTCTGCTTTTCTCAGCACATCTGTTTTCTCCTCTTTCTTACCATCCATTGTCCTCTGCTTTCTCAGAGTCTTTTCTACCTCAAAACTTTAACTTGCACTTGGTCTCTTAAGATCCCTCCTGCCCCAACTTCACCTGTGATCCCTAACTGGCTTAGTCTCTCGGTGTTCCAATTCTTCCTTTATGAGAGAGCAATGTGATTCGTTTAAAAGCATCTGGGGGGCCAGGTACAGTGGCTGTAATCCCAACACTGTGGGAGGCTGAGGTGGGCAGATCACTTGAGGTCAGGAGTTCAAGACTAGCCTGGCCAGCATGGCACAACACTGCCCCTACTAAAAATACAAAAATTACCCCAGCATGGTGGCGCATGCCTGTAATCCCAGCTACTCAGGAGGCTGAGGCACAAGAATTGCTTGAACCAGGGAGGTGGAGATTGCAGTGAGCTATGATCGTGCCACTACACTCCAGCCTGGGTGACAGAGCAAGACTCTGCCTCTAAAATAAAAATAATAAAATAAATAAAAGCATTTGGAGGAAGGTCACTAACCTATGGTTGGGTCATCCTTAAGTTAGCTTGTTATGTATATGTGTGATGGGGCAGTGGGAATGGGGACAAATACCATAACTATGACCACTCACTGTGAGCAGCTTTTCCTCTCAGAAGGGAGCTGTGGTTAGAGCAGGCTGTGAGGCTCTTCACTGGTCCAAGTGGCAAAGGGGCTGGAGGTCTTGAGTATGGCAGCCTGGAAGTCATATCGGAGTTTCCTAGATTTATCTCCACGGAATATACTGTTGGGTAGCAAGAACATCCTGAATACTCTCTCACAGTTGGGGAACCTAGCCTACTAGGCTCATCTCTAGGGCCTAGGTTTTAGGCCATTTTCTTATCCTATAGTTAAATACTAAGAAAGACATTTGCAATCATGCATTCATGGAAAGATGGCTCAACTTCCATGACTGCTACATACTTAAAAAAAGAGAGAGAGAGGTAGAGAGAGCTTCCCACACATAATTCATTAGCCTTGTGTTTAGTTAGAAAAGTTCAGGATGTTCCTTCTGGAAATTGTGCGCATAAGCGTCAATTGGGCACATTCATCAAACAGTATCCACAAAAAAAAAACAAAAACAAAAACATTTGCCCATGGCCATCGAAAATCCTGAGACTTAGTTCTAAGAGTTTAAGCTTTAAAGAAAATTGCCAAGTATGGTGTATTTCAGAATCAAATCCCATACTCAAAAAGCAAACACACAGTACGGGCAGGGAGTATAGAAGCTACATCAGAGAGAATCTTAATTAATTCTTCCCCTGCATCCCTTTTTGGCATTTTGAACTGGCAAAGAGAAAACCTGTGATGTCTGTGCCTGGTTATTTCATTGATAAAGAGCCAGGGTCATGGTTTCTATTCTGTTACCCAGTTGGCTTCATTTTGTCCAATGGCTACAGCATGTACCTTGCACTCTAGCCAGGAAGCTGACTCTCTGCAGGCCCTTGTTTTATTTGGGGATGGATTGGGATTTTTGGAGAGAGATGAAAATTTTTTTAACATGATGGGAAAGACAAAAAAAAAGAAAAAACAACTAGAAAAGCACACTTCTGTCTATCCATCTTACCATCTTCATTGGCTGAAGACACCCTATTGCTTGTCAGGGTCTTGCTGTTCATCCTGCACTACAAAGACAATAGGGTGATGATGAAAGAAAACTATGGAGAAAAGGATGATGGTGACCTCCCTCGATCAGGAAATCTATTTATTTCGATAAGTCAAGGGAAGTGAAGGATGACCTTCTGAATTAAGGTCAAAAAGGAATTTGATAATAATTCAACAGTGATACCTAGTTTTTTAGAAAATCACTTAGTAACCTAGAAATAAAAGGAACAAAGATATAACTCAAATGAGATAAAAATTGTCTACAAAACCAGCAGCCAATATTCTATACATGTACAAAATTGAGCCCTATCTACTTTAGGAATAAGGATACCCTCTGTTCCCATACACATTTAACATGGTCTGAAATCTCTAGCCAATAAAATAGGACCGTGGAAAGGAAAAAAAAAAAAAAGATACCATTTTTGGAAAGGAGATACAAATTTTTGTTGTTGTTTTGTTTTGAGACAATGTCTCACTCTGTCACCCATGTTGGATATAGTGGTGCCATCTCGGCTCACTGCAGCCTTGACCTCCCAGGCTCAAGCCATCCTCCCATCTCAGCCTCCCAAGTAGCTGGGACTATAGGCTCATGCCACCACACTCAGCTAATTTTGTTCATTTTTTTGTAGAGACAGGATCTCACTGTGTTGCCTAGGCTCAAAGTCTTGGGCCCAAGGGATACCCCTGCCTCGGCCTCTCAAAGTGCTGGGATTACAGGTGTGAGCCACTGCACCGAACCTACAGTTGCTTTTATATAATATCATTGCCTTTCTAAAACACTCAAAACAATTAATAAAAAACTATTTGGCCAAAAAAAAAGATAATTTAATGGGGCAGAAAATTATAAAACAGGCATAAAATTTGTCTTAAATACAGCAGCAACTATATTGGATCAAGATGATAGACTGAACACAGATGGCTGCTGACCCTCCCATCCAAATATTTTTAATATTACAAGGATAAGCCCAACAAGCCCTGGAAAATGGGAGAAAGTCTCATCAGTGACCAGAAATCATGAGTAATTGTCTGAAAATAGAAGCATGTGCAAGAGAAAAGTACTATAAAGACTAGAAGAGCACACAACAACCTCAACTGAGATTGAATAAACACAAAGACTGGAAGGTGCCCTGGGTCAATCAATTTGTGATTAACACTTCATAAGCAAATTTCACTAATGAGCGCATACAAATAGAGTATTTGAAAAACTGAATCCAACAGAATATTAAGAGAATAAAATGTTATGACAAAGTAGAATTTGCTCTGTGTATTCTAAGTAAAATATGTAGAATTTATCTTACTTATTCTATGTAGAATACAGGTATACTTACATAATTCATAACAGTAACAGATCAAAGCAAATTACATACAAATTTTAATAGCACTTAAAAGCATTTTTAAGTTTCAATTAAAATACACATTTCAATTTTAAAAGGAAAAAAACTTAGAAAAGGAATAAAAGGACATTTCTTTAACTTAACAAAAGTTACAAGGGGATACAGCAGAAACCTATAGAAAGCACCATTTTAATGCCAAAACATTTTAAAATTCCCGTTAAAGTAAAAAATATGGGCCAGGCACAGTGGTTCACACCAGTAACCTCAGCACTTTGGGAGACTAAGGTGGGAAGATTGATTGAGGCCAGGAGATGGAGATCAGCCTGGGCAACATAGCGAGACCCTGACTCTACAAAAATCAAAAACTTACCAGGCATAGTGGTGCACACCTGTAGTCCAGGCTACTTGGAGGGCTGAGGTGGGAGGATCCCTTGAGCCCAGGATGTTGAGGCTGCAGTGAGCTGTGATCATGGCACTGTACTCCAGCCTGGGTAATAGAATGAGACCCTGTCTCAAAAATAAACAAATAAATAAATAATACAAAGTATCAGAAAACCTGCCATCCCTGCAATCAATAAATATTTTACTAGCCATACTAACAAGTTAAATAAGATAGGAAAAAATTTTTAATGAAATATGTATATGAGAAAGGAAAAGACATAGGATGATTCTTTGTAGATAATATAATTGTCTACATAAAGTAACAAATTAGGGGAATAAGCAAAGACATTTCTGAAACTCATCTGAGAGTAAATATGGCTAGTAGAAGACCACAAAATTTAACAGAATATCTAATTGTCTATAATAATCAGTTAGAAAGTTAAAAAAGATACCGTACTATTTCTGAAGCAACAAACTTGGAATAAACCCAAGAAGAAACATTCAAGAATGATATGAATGACATAAAAGAAAATCTAAATAAATGAAATATACCATTGTTTTAAATAGAAATTGTGGCGGGTGAAGCAACTTCACCTTGGATGCTATTCCACCATGTTGGCTTCTGATTAACCCCAGTTTCAAGAGAGCTCTGAGATTTCTGGTTTCTCTATACTGTCCCTTGTGTAAAAGCAGGCACTTACTGCTATAAATCCTGCCTATAAGTCAAGCAATCTTGATGTTCTCGTACTTCAATTGTGCTACACATCTCTTCCAAACCACCCCTCTCCTATGGTATATAAGCCCTGGGCCTGGGGTTAATGGCACAAAGAACCCACCATCTCATCCTGCCCTGCCTGTGACCCAGACATGGCTTCTGTTCCTAAATCCCTATTAAATGTTTCTTTCTGAGAAACTGGATTCGTCAGCCTCTTTCTTCAGCCTCTCAGTTTCCTTGAACTTTAGGATAGGTTTGCATAGATCTGAACACTGCAAAATAGAAATATACATTCTTTTAAATTAATCAAAATTCCAACACAAACTTTTCTGGAAGTTGACAAACTGCTTCTAAATGTTATATAAAAGAAAATGAGGGTTGGGCATAGTGACTCACATCCATAATCCCAGCACTTTGGGAGGCCAAGGCAGGAGGATCACTTGGGACTTGGGGCCAGTAGTTTGAGACCATCCAGGGTAATACAGTGAGACCTCATCTCTACCTCTACCAAAAAAAAAAAAAAAAAAAAATTTGCTTGGCATGGTGGAGCATGGCTGTAGTCCTAGACACTCGGGAGGCTAGGGCAGGAGGACTGCTTGAACCCAGTAGTTGGAGGCTACAATGAGCTATGATTGTGCACAACACTCCAGCCTGGGAGACAAAGCAAAATCCTCTTTCTAAAAATGAATGAATGAATGAATGAATGAATTTTAATTTTTAAATAGAAGATGAAGAGATAAGCCTGAGCCAATAGTTTTTTAAATAACAGTAAGGGAAAAGTTTTTTTTGTCAGTTTGTTTTGGTGTTTGTTTGTTTGTTTGTTTGTTTTGAGATGGAGTTTTGCTCTGTCCCCCAGACTGGAGTCCAGTGGCACAATCTCAGCTCACTGCAACTTCCAACAAAAAGCTAAGGTTAAAATATGTAGTATTAGCTAATGAATAAAGAGCCCACTAATACAAAATATTCAAAAATGATACATGTATATGGGAACTTAAAATATTTTAAAAGTAAGCTGAGCATGGTGGCTCATGCCTGCAATCCCAGCACTTTGGGAGGCCAAGGCAGGTGGATCATGAGGTCAGGAGTTTGAGACCAGCCTGGCCAACATAGTGAAACCGCATCTCTACTAAAAATACAAAAAATTAGCCAGGAATGGTGGCTGGTGCCTGTAATCCCAGCTACTCAGGAGGCTGAGGCAGGAGAATCACTTCAACCTGGGAGGCGGAGGTTGCAGTGAGCCAAGATCGCGCCATTGCACTCCAGCTTGGGCGACAGTGTGAGACTCTGTCTCAAAAAATAAAAAAGATAAAAATTATAAAAGTAGCATGTCATGGGGAAAGTATAGTCATGATATTATAAAAAGTGGATATTCATTAGATCACTACCTCGTGCCATACTAAAAATAAATTCCAGATTGATTAAAGAACAAAATATTTTAAAATAAAATTTAAGTGTAAAATACAAAAATATTTTTTTAATCTTATAAATCTTTCATATGGGTCAGAAAACCCAGAAGCCAAAACCAAAAATAATGGCATCGATTGTATAAAAATGTAAATGTGTATACTGATAAGCACCATACTCATAAGCACCACAAAAATATTAAAAGACAATCAACGGACTGAGAAAACATAGAACCAACGATGCATAACTACTCACGATTCAGAAAAACTAATAACAAGTAAGTAGGGAAAAGACAGACAACTCCATTGAAAATAAGCAAAAAATTAGAGCAAGCAAGTCACACAAGAGATACAAATAGATGATTTGCTTTAAATATAAGATTTGCTTAACCTGACTACAGTCAAAGAAATGCAACTTAAAACAATAAAAATAACTTTTCCCTAAAATATAAAGAATAAAAAGATTAATAGCATCCAATATCAACAAAGTTATAAAGAAACTTTATTACTAGAAGTAAAATTTAAAATTCCTGGCAAAATCCTTTTGCAAAGCAATTTGAAAGCATATGACTAGCATTTCCACAATTTCTGAAAATACAAAGAAGCTTGTATAAAGATATTAATTGTAATCGAAGTATTTTATTTAATTGTAGTACATCTCTTTTATAAACTCAAGTCTGCTGACTTCATAGGCACTTCTGTTTACCCTTCCTCACTGCTAAGACAGTGGGTTGATTTTTCAGCTTCTGTTGCTAAGAGTTCAGTGTTCTAAGAGGCACAGAAAATTGCCTCTTAGATGGAGTCTCTCACTCCATCTTAAATGGAGTCTCTCACTCTGTCTCCAAGGCTGGAGTGCAGTGGTACAACCTCCTGGGTTCAAGTGATTTCCCTGCCTCAGTCTCCCGAGTAGCTAGGATTAAAGAGCACACCACGCCCGTAATTCATCACCCACTTCATCGCCCAGTCTCAGCAGCAGTTTGACTCTTCCAAGGGTCAGCTCAGAGTGCCTGTGCTGACCGTGATGGCTTCAACATGAACACTACTATGACCCGGTTGATAACAAGAAGTTAGAAAGTGAAGATCCCCACTGTTTACTGAAATTTCTGCCTATGGATGCAACTCAATTCAAAAAGCATTTATGTAGACACGGCATGGGGGTTAGGTTGCTGGGGATGCATGGATAAGCAAGACACAATTTGTGACCTCAAGGAATTTATGTCTTTGTTTTTGCTTTCTACTTAGATGCTTAGTGATAATTGTGATTCCCTTGGCAAAAGCTAGTTATTCTAAACTAGTGGTTCTCAAAGTAAAGTGTCAAGACCAGCAGCATCAGCATCTCCTGGGAATGTGTTAGAAATGCTGATGCTCGGCCAGGCGCAGTGGCTCATGCCTGTAATCCCAACACTTTGGGAGGCCGAGACGGGCAGATCAGCTCAGGTCAGGAGCTCAAGACCAGCCTGGCCAACATGGCGAAACCCTGTCTATACTAAAAATACAAAAATTAGCCGGGTATGGTGCGCTCTGTATTCCTAACTACTCGGGAGACTGAGGCAGAGAAATCACTTGAACCCAGAAGGTGAAGGTCGCAGTGAGCCGAGATTGTACCACTGCACTCCAGCCTTGGAGACAGAGTGAGAGACTCCATCTTAAAAAAAAAACAAAAAACAGCTGATGCTCTGGCCCAAACCCAAACCCAGAATCTCTGAGGGGCGGTGGGGGATGATCCAGGTGATTCTGATACACAATTAAGTTTGAGAACCACTACTCACTACTCTATTGGAAGCACTACTCTATTGGAAGCATTTAAACAATGCCTAGATTTTTTTCCTTGCAAAAAATTTGCTTAAGATTACTTGTGAAAACAAAAGACACCACTGTATAATTTGTAGATGCTATTTGAGTGGCACACATTTTGCACATATGGCTTCTGGAAGCATCCCATTATTATGAAACTACCCTACGTGGAATGTTCCTGTCGTGGAACTTATTCATTTACTTCTTGATCAGTGGATGATTTATTTCTTGAGTTCCTATTTATCTGACACTATAGATAATGTTGCAGTGAACAACTTCATATCATATACATAAAGCTTTATTCTGAATTAGTAACATGGGATAAACGTTCAGGGAAATAACTTCGTGGGGAAAAAGAAGATGGACATCTTTATTATTCATGCTGCATGTTGCTATGCTGCTTTCTGAACAGGTTTGTCCTCAAATGATGCCAGCTGCCCTGTGAGTGTAAGTTTCATCACCCACTTCCCCACATAGGGCATAATCATTCAATTTTGATATGATTATGTATAAAATGTTGCCTTGAGGCTGCTCTATTCTACTTTCTTTGCTTTCTAATGAGGTTGTAGATGTTTCCCATGTGTTTCTTTAATATTCACATTACTGCTTGTGTGACGCATCTGTGGATGATTACTTGGTTATCAAAAATAGCACTTTTAAAAATACCCACTCAAGAAGTCCCTACTACACCCTGGGAACAGAATTGTGTTCTGGGTGTTCAAGAGTGTGGAATTAAGCTCCTTCAAGATGAGGAATAATTTCTGAGTCAGTAGGTAGAGCTTCTATAGTAGTATGTGAGTTTGGCCAGGATTGCTGCTAGCAGTCTGTATGTATTAGAAAAGAATAACAATAATAAGCCAAGTGCAGTGGCTAATGCCTGTAATAATAACACTTTGGGAGGCTGGGGCAGGAGGATTGCTTAAGGCCAGGAGTTCAAGACCAGCCTGGGCAACATAGTGAGACCCTGTCTCTTTAAAAGAGAGAGCAGTCTCTTTGCAGTCCTATGCCCCAAGCATGAGCTTGATGAACAGAGGATTTTGGGTCCCCATTTGTTCCCTAGCCCAGGTGCTCCTGAACAGTGAACAATCTGCTTGACCTTATCCTACCACTCAGAATA